AGAATCCAACAGCACATTAGAAGGATCATACACCATGATCAAATGGGGTTTATCCCAGGAATGCAAGGATTCTTGAATATATGCAAATCAATCAATATGATACACCATATTAACAAATAGAAGGATGAAAACCATATGATCATCTGAATAGATGCAGAAAAAGCTTTCGACAAAATTCACCACCCATTTATGATAAAAACCCTCCAGAAAGTAGGCATATAGGGAACTTACCTCAACATAATAAAGGCCATATATGACAAACTCATAGCCAACATCATCCTCAATGGTGAAAAACTGAAACCATTTCCACTAAGATCAGGAACAAGACAAGGTTGCCCACTCTCACCACTACTATTCAGCATAGTTTTAGAAGTTTTAGCCACAGCAATCAGAGACATAAAAGAAATTAAAGGAACCCAAATCGGAAAAGAAGAAGTAAAGCTGTCACTGTTTGCAGATAACATGATACTATACATAGGGAATCCTAAAGATGGTACCAGAAAACTACTAGAGCTAATAAATTAATTTGGTAGAGTAGCAGGATACAAAATTAATGTACAGAAATCTCTTGCATTCCTATACACTAATGATGAAAGATCTGAAAGAGAAATTAAGGAAACACTCCCATTTACTATTGCAACAAGAAGAATAAAATACCTAGGAATAATCCTACCTAAGGAGACTAAAGACGTGTATGCAGAAAACTTTAAGATACTGATGAAAGAAATTAAAGATAATAGAAACAGATGGTGAGATATACCATGTTCTTGGATTGGAAGAATCAACACTGTGAAAATGACTATACTACCCAAAGCAATCTACAGATTCAGTACAATTCCTATCAAAGTACCAATGCCATTTTTCACAGAACTAGAACAAAAAAATTCACAATTTATATGGAAGCACAAAAGACCCCGAATAGCCAAAGCAATCTTGAGAAAGAAAAACAGAACTGGAGGAATCAGGCTCCCTGACTTCAGACTATACTACAAAGCTACAGTCAGCAAGACACTATGGTACTGGCACAAAAACAGAAATATAGATCAATGGAACAGGACAGAAAGCCCAGAGATAAACACACACACATATGGTCACCTTATCTTTGATAAAGGAGGCAAGAATATACAATGGAGAAAAGACAGCCTCTTCAGTAAGTGATGCTGGGAAAACTGGACAGCTACATGTAAAAGAATGAAATTAGAACACTCCCTAACACTGTATACAACAAACTCAGAATGGACTAAAGACCTAAATGTAAAGTCAGACACTATAAAACTCTTAGAGGAAAACATAGGCAGAACACTCTGTGACATAAATCGCAGCAAGATCCTTTTTGACCCACCTCCTAGAGAAATGGAAATAAAAACAAAAATAAACAAATGGGAGCTAATGAAACTTAAAAGCTTTTGCACAGCAAAGGAAACCATAAACAAGACGAAAAGACAACCCTCAGAATGGGAGAACGTATTTGCAAATGAAGCAGCTGACAAAGGATTAATCTCCAAAATATGCAAGCAGCCCATGAGCTCAATATCCAAAAAACAAACAACCCGATCCACACATGGGCAGGAGACCTAAATAGACATCTCTCCAAAGAAGATATACAGACTGCCAACAAACACATGAAAGGATGCTCAACATCACTAATCATTAGAGAAACGCAGATCAAAACTACATGAGATATCACCTCACACCAGTCAGAATGGCCATCATCAAAAAATCTACAAACAATAAATGCTGGAGAGGGTGTGGAGAAAAGGGAACCCCCCTGCACTGTTGGTGGGAAAGTAAATTGATACAGCCACTGTGGAGAACAGTATGGAGGTTCCTTATAAAACTAAAAATAGAACTACCATATGACCCAGCAATCCCACTACTGGGCATATACCCTGAGAAAACCATAATTCAAAAAGAGTCGTGTACCACAATGTTCATTGCAGCTCTATTTACAATAGCCAGGACATGGAAGCAACCTAAGTGTCCATCAGCAGATGAATGGATAAAGAAGATGTGGCACATATATACAATGGAATATTACTCAGCCATAAAAAGAAACGAAATTGAGTTATTTGTAGTTAGGTGGAAGGACCTAGAGTCTGTCATACAGAGTGAAGTAAGTCAATAAGAGAAAAACAAATACCGTATGGTAACACATATATATGGAATCTAAAAAAAAAAAAAAAGGTTCTGAAGAACCTAGGGTAAAATACATAGCTAGTGGGAAGCAGCCACATAGCACAGGGAGATCAGCTCGGTGCTTTGTGACCCCCTAGGGGGGTGGGATAGAGAGGATGGGAGGGAGACACAAGAGGGAGGAGATATGGGGATATATGTATATGTATAGCTGATTCACTTTGTTATAAAGCAGAAACTAACACATCACTGTAAAGCACTTATAGTCCAATAAAGATGTTTTAAAAATTTAGTCATTAATTTTAAAAAAGAAAAAGAAGAAAAGAAACTTGTACATGAACGTTCATAGTAGCATGATTCATAATAGGCAAAAAGTGGAAACAACCCAAATTTTGTCAGCTGATAAATGGGATAAACAAAATGTGATATATCCGTATAATGGAATATTGTTCAGCAGTAAAAAGGATGAAGTAATGATACATGCTACAACATGGATGAACCTGAAAAGCATGCTAAATGAAAGAAGCCAGACACAAAAGGCCCCATATCATATGATAATATATATGTGAACTGTCTCGAATAGGCAAATCTGTAAAGACAGAAATTCTCTGGTTGCCAGGGGCTGGGGGAAACGGGGACTAGAGAGTGACAGCTAATGGGTGTGTGGTTTTTTGGGGGGCAATGATGGAAATGTTCCGGAATTAAATAGTGATGTTTGCAACTTTGTGAATATACTAAAAATCACCATGTATGTTTTAAAAGGGTGAATTTTATGGCATGTGAGGCTCAATAAAATAATGTTTAAGAAAAATAAAATAGAATCTGTTTAGCTAAGACACTAGAATTAAGAATATTTTTAGCAAGTTAAAGTCTAATTTTTCACTTAATTCTGTAATTATATGTGTATTTTAAAAGAGTACGTTTTGATAAGGAGATGTGAATCAGGAAATTATAAGTAACCATGTAGGTGTATCTCCACAGCCTTTTTTTTTTAGTGAAAATTTGGGACATTTTAAAACTTACATAGGAAACAGTTTGCTTCTATTATTAGAGTTTGGCTTTATATCTTTAATTTTTTTTACTACTTTTGGAATTGTTACCTTTTTTTTTTTTTTTTTTTTTTTTCTTTTGCGGTACGCGGGCCTCTCACTGTTGTGGCCTCTCCCGTTGCGGAGCACAGGCTCCGGACGCGCAGGCTCAGCGGCCATGGCTCACGGGCCCAGCCGCTCCGCGGCATATGGGACCTTCCCGGAGCAGGCACAAACCCATGTCCCCTGCATCGGCAGGCGGACTCTCAACCACTGCGCCACCAGGGAAGCCCTGGAATTGTTACCTTTTTGAAAATGCTCAGCTATCATTCTAATGGCTTTCAGACGGTTTTAAATGAGTGTTTACATGAAGTGTGCTTGTGTGTGTTTTTCGAGTAAGCTGCCATCTCCAGATCCCAATTTATGATGTATAAGTGGTTTAAGTATGTTCTAGAGTAATATAAGCCATACTAATAGATCTGATTTCCCCCTTTATGATTTCCCTTTCTCCTATCCTCGTTCCCTTCCCACCCCTGGACTTTATTCTTCAAAATATAAAATGGGGTGAGAGTGTAATACCTTGTTTTTAATTAATTCTTTCAGTAAGCATTTATTTAGCATCTACTGTGTGTCAAGGTACTGTGCTCTACTGTGTGTCAGGGTACTGTGCTAAGGTAAATGATACAGAAAATGAACTTTTAAAAAATAATAAAATGAAAAAAAAAGATACATGTAGAACTGCTCTTGAAACAGTTAAAAAGGGAATTCCCTGGCGGTCCAGTGGTTAGGATTCCGGGCTTTCACTGCTGGGGGCCCAGGATCGTTCCCTGGTCGGGGAACTAAGATCCCACAGGCCACACGGTGTGGCCCAAAAAAAAAGAAAGAGTTATGAAGGCATTTAACGCAGATGAGGGAGGTCAGGCAGGACTTGTTATTACCATCCATGTAATTAGAAGGTTGATCATTGAAACCAGGTTATATCTGTTACGCGTTTTTAGAGAGCAAGTAGAGCTCATGCTTGGTTGGCCCTTAGCACATCTCACAACTACATAAGCACAGAAAAAAATCTCGAGAAAAGCAATAGGGATTTGTCCCCAAGACGTGTGTGTGTAAACCAGAAATCTTTTTTCTTCAGTTGGCGTGAATACAAGCATTACAGGTGCAGAGACATTAATGAAAATTTGGTTTCTGCTTCCTTGACTGCTTAACATATTGAAAACCTTTTAAACCATCACAGTTTTTAGGGGTTTGCTTCCCTTAATATACTTACTAGATTTTTAAAAACTACCATTGTGAACTTAAAGGAATTACTGTTTTTATTGGTATTTTTAAAGACACAAGTTCTCTTTACATTGCTTTCTACAGGACTGACGCTGTAAGCCGTCCCGATTCCCTGCCACACCCCAGCCTCTCCCCCAGAAACTCCAACCCTACATCTCCCCACAATCCAACATTTTGAAGGTTATCCCCAGGCATAGAAGGAGGCCTTCAGAACCCTGCATTTTGTTACTTTTGCATCCATCCTGATTGCCGGTGCCTGGGCCATCTCCATTGCTTAATAATTTTGAATATCACCCTGACTTTCTGCCTATAATGTAAATTATTACTGTTTTAACTATGCTTGTGTTCTGCCAGCTACAGTATCAAATAGCTCTAGCTCATGTGCCATTGCTTATCTGTGTAGAACCAAAATTCAGAGTTTTATTATTTTCTGAATAACCCAGAATACCATCATACTATAACTCCCAGTGGTCTCCTAAACCATACTGGTTTTTTTGTTTATTTCTTCAATGTTGATGGTTTGGCCTAAGTTCTGTGTTCTCTTATTGTTCCTTCCAGTTCGCTTTGCACCTTATAGGCCTCCCGATATCTCCCTGAAGCCGCTGCTCTTTGAAGTGCCCAGCATCACTACAGAGTCAGTGTTTGTTGGCCGGGATTGGGTTTTCCATGAAATAGATGCTCAACTTCAGAGTTCAAATGCCAGCGTGAACCAAGGAGTAGTGATCGTGGGGAACATTGGGTTCGGCAAAACCGCCATCGTCTCCAGACTGGTGGCCCTCAGCTGCCACGGAACACGGATGAGACAGATCGCCTCAGACAGCCCACATGCCTCCCCGAAACGTATGTATCCCTTTTTAAAGAACTCCATGTGGTGGGATAGGGAGGGTGGGAGGGAGACACAAGAGGGAGGAGATATGGGGATATATGTAAATGTATAGCTGATTCACCGTGTTATAAAGCAGAAACTAACACACCATTGTAAAGCAATTATACTCCAATAAAGATGTTAAAAAAAAAAAACACTAAAAAAATTTTTTTTTAAATAACTCCATGCTTCATTGCTCTGAAATTTTTTCCGGCATCTTTGTATTAAGTCTTATATCCTTTCATTTTCTGATCTGCAAAACCTGACTGGCACGTGAGGACCATTAACTCAGAGTCGAGGGAAAGAATGTAATACTCTGTTGACATTTAACCCACATATCCAACAGTCACCTGAGAGTGACTGAAAAAACCTTTCTCTCAGAATAAATGTATGCCTCTTCCCTCCTGACTGTCTGGCTGGTCTGTCCTTTGGATGATGACTACAGCAATTGCCCATAAGAGCTTGTTTGCATCCATCACTGTCAGCTTTTGCTCAGCCTGTGTGCAGGCTTCCTGTTCACACCGGCACAATCTGTTTGCGGCCTTCATTTCCTTGCGATCGATGTCAGTGTTGCACTGCTTGGGCTTGAACTTCATTGTGTCCTTGAAGGGTTTCTCCTGCTTCTATGTGAAAAGATGCTGAGATCTCATATATATTTATGCTTCTTTCATCACAGGCAGGTGCAGCTTAATGATCGCCATCAGGATCCTGTTTATTTGTTTTTAAAATACTTATATGGTCCTTAGTACCAGGCACTCTCTAAGAGCTTAACAAACATTCATTCATCCAACCCTCTTATCTCTTTCAGAGAGGTAGTTCCTGTTATCTTCCTTTCACAGATAAGTGGTTTAAGGCTCAGAGAGGTTAAGTAAGCCTCCCAGGTTTCGTAGCCAGTAAATAGTGAAACTAGAATTTGAGCCTAAGCAGTCTGGTTTCAGAGGCCAGTGTCATGCATTTTGCTGTGCTCCCTCTCCTTATTGATGGAACTCCCTTGAGTAAAGGAGATAAAAAGAAATGTATAGGGGTTCTTCCTATACACACTATATGTATCGAACCAGTCTACCTGGCTTCTGCTAGTTATAAGAAAACAAAAAGAAACTCTTGCCCTGCTAGTCCAAATCAATAATCTAGCTCACCACAGATTTCCAGACAGCAACCACTAGAAATGGTTTGTTTGGGATCATAGTATTGTAGTTACAGAGTCTAGAACGGTGCTGTGGGAAGTCAACAGGAACTCACTGGACACCCTCCAAACATCCTGGCTTCCTGTTGAAATTAATTCCTGTTTCATGTTGTTAAGTAGTCAGATTGCCTCTGGTAAACTTATGGATATCTGACACGTAGAAGAACTAGTGTCTAGAAAGAAAACTTGTTGGATCAAGAGTCCCATTTGCCAGGGTATGGTAAGAATTGGTATGGAAGAATTCATGTCTTAAGAGCAGTATCATGCTTAGTTTCTGGATTAAGTTTATCTGAGGTAGATTGGCATAATGTCATGGGAGTCAAGAGCCCATAGTTTGGCTCCAGCGCTCAAACTTACTATACTTTGTAACCTTGAGAATTTTACTTTAATTCTTTAGACCTTGGTTTTTGTCATCTGTAAAATAAGTCAGTGGGATTAGGTGATCTTTAAGATTCATTCCTATGCTAAAATTCTGTGATTCTAAGATGTCTGCATGGTTGAAAGTAACTTTCCATACCTATTCCAGTATTTTCGTTAGAGTGCTTAGCTTAAATATCACGCCAGACTACTTCTTATCTGCGTAATCCAAGAGGTTAACTATTTGAGTGTGTCAGAAAGAAAACCAGCTAGGTAATAGTCTCTCTGACTCCTCTATATATCCATCACTGTTGCAGATAACAGATGGTAGAATCATGGCTCAAGGGCAAGAAGAGCTGCTTTCTCTGAAAGCAAAGGTGCCTGGAAGTGCCCCCTCTAAGCCTGGGAGAGCAGGAGTTAATAGAAAACAGCCCATGTGCTCCCCAAAGCAGAGGTCCTTTAAAGATAGTTCATTAAGTTATTCTCTAACATCCGTTGCCTTTTACCTCCAGAGAAACTCTAAAAATACCCCATTCATGTGATAAATGTCCACATGTCAAGACTATAGATTTGACCTGATAGTTAACGTAGAAAACTTGAAAAGGTGTTAAAGGGGATCGAGTATGTGGTTATATATTTATCAGAACTACACAGAACCAGCATTGCCTTGTCGTAATTTGATGTAATAATTTTTGTTGTCCGCTTTGATGTCCAAACTACATTCCACCTCTGCCATCTTAACCGAACCACTTAAGAATGGTCAAGAATAAGTGGTTGATGTCATTTACTGGTATTTAAATATTAACTCTGAAAAACAAAATCAACTCTTGAAATTACCCCAGTAGCTACACACATCTGTAAAATTTTCATTTTCTGTTATGCAAATGATTAATAATAAAATCTAACTTCAGTTTGTTTTAGAACTGGCTCTCATTAAATTTTCTAGTTTTGAGGACAAATGTTTTGTCTTTCTTGTATTATCCTTACGAGGTTTTGGTTAAAGCTTTTCAAGTATTAGCGCTCAAAAATGTTACTTTTTTTAAAAAAAAATCAGTGATCTGTATGTTTCTGTTTTATATTTGTTATTTCTGTAAACAAATATGAACTGAATATATCTTAACCAATTTAAAGATATTTCTTTGAGGGAAAAAAAAAAAAGAATAAGTGGTTGATAAAGAACAAGCTGTTTTTCGGCATTGATCTGTTACTTTATGAGCCGGCACTGAAAATGTTACTGGCAGTAGCAGAATTTTTTTCATTAGTGAATAAGAATGATGTCTTAGCGAGAGAGAGTTGGCTTAATGTTTTACAGTTTAATTTACATTCAGCTTTGATAGGTGTATTTGGGATCCCACTGGCCTTCCCAACCCTAAGTCAGTGATGCAGTTGTAGTAGTAATGAAAATAGGTGGAAGATTATTGGAGCTCCCCACCTCCGTTTCTGCATCCTGTGTCATTCTTTCTTCTGTCCCTCACTCCTCCACGCTGAGCAGCGCTGCTGTGGAAGACATGAGAGTCGAGCCTGCAGCACTGCATTGCCTGGCTCTGTCCTTCCCCCACAGACACCCAGCCCCCAGCCGCCCCCTCCTTGTCATTTCCCTGGGAAGGCACAGAGAAGCTGTCAAGGCAGGCACTAGCCTGTCATCTTGCTGTCCACCTACACCCCGTCCCAAACCCAACTCCCCCATCAATCTCTACCGTCACCACCCACCCCGCAACACACACGTACAGAGAACGGAAACATTTTGTGAAAATGGACCTGTTGTGTAATCCAGGCATTGTTACATTAACTACAAGTGTACTCAGTACAGTAGTTAGGGAAGTTCGGTCTAATTACAAGACTGTATTTTCCTATCACTGAAAGTCTGAGGGTAGTTACTGTTTGGATTTGACATTTGCCAACAGCTGCCATGTCCCCAAATAGCTGTTCAGTGAGTAACCCCTCCCCTCCCCACTCTGCTCATTCCAGAAGTCTGTGTTGCCAGTTCGCTGTGCACGCTGACTGCTCCTCCCTATTAACTTTTATTTCTACTGTTCTCTGAATACCAAGCGGAAAGTAAAAACACCCAGACAAAAAGGAGGGCCTCTCCAAAAGGGAACAGCTAGAAGACAGAAGGTACTCAGACACTAATTACCCACAAAACCAGATAAGGGGGAATGGGGTGGACAGAGGGAGTGAACAACAGGCATGATACAGTGACAGTCACTGAACTTTACTGCGCACATTTCTTCAGTCTTTTTCACTGCCGTCTCCCACACCTACCCCCCTACAGTTTATTCAGAACTCTATGCAGTGGCCAGGGAATTTACTTTGCCAGTTGGATGGAAGAAGTCTCAATTAAGTCCTACTGGTAGGGAGTTAAATGAGAACTATTTTCCCCTATTTCTTCTCCTTTTCAGTAGTTATTGACCATCAAATAACAGTCTACTTATTGTGTACCCATTTTTAAAATATGGTCTGTATTTATAAATAGAGTCTATAATTTCTAGTAGTAGTTAAGATGTTACCTAAATAATGTGAACGAATGGAATTTTTAAAAAACAGCTTTATTAAGCTACAATTCACGTACCGTATAATTCACCCATTTAAATGGTTCAATTCACTGCTTTTTACTGTAGTCACTCAGTTGTGCAGCAATCACCATAATCTTAGAACTTTGTCATTCCCCCCTAAAAGAAATCCCATGCCCATTAGCAGTCAGTCTTCATTTCCCCCCTAAATCCCTATCTCTACCCCTAGGTAACCACTAATCTGCCTTTTGTCCCTATGGATTTCCGTATTCTGGGCATTTCAAATAAATAGAATCGTATGCTATATGGTTTTTTGTAACTGACTTCTTTGAGTGAGTGTAACGTTTCAAGGGTTATCCATGTTGTAACATATATTGGTATTTCATTTCTTTTTATTATTGAGTAATGTTCGACTGTGAGGCTGTACCATCTTTTATCCATTCATCAGTTGATGGACATTTGGGTTGTTTCCGTTTTGGGGCTATTATGAATCTTGCTTCTTTGAACATTTGTGTACAAGTTTTTGCATGGACATATGTTTTTAATTCTCTTGGGTACATACCCCTAAGAGTAGAATTGCTGGATCAAAGAACAAATGGGATTTAACCAGTCTTTCTTTAGAGTTTTATGATTATCTGATGCAAACATCTCATCTTTATAATACAGATATGGATGCCAACAGAGAGCTGCCACTCACACAGCCACCTTCAGCCCACTCATCCATCACCAGTGGAAGCTGCCCAGGAACTCCAGAAATGCGGAGGCGGCAGGAGGAGGCCATGCGGAGACTAGCCTCGCAGGTACAATAGGATTCTCAGGTTGCGGGCATGCTAGTTCCATTTTAACATCAAGGGGGCAATGGTAGGGAGACCCCTGGCAAAGTGAACAAAAGTATGTACAGGTGGACCATGAGAACATGGATAAAAGTTTCTCTCTCTTTGCTGTTCCTAGAAAAATACTTCGTTATTATGGAATCAGAACCTTATTGTTGGAAAGGCCCTTAGAAATAACCAAAGTCCCACAATGAATAGATAAGGAAATTGAGACTCAAAGAAGTTGTATGATTTACCCAAGATCACAGTATAAGTAATCAATAGCTTTGTATTTTCATTCCTAGCTCAAAACTCTTCCTGCTATACCACACTATCCATAACTTCTTTATATGTTTGCATTTTAATTTTCTGTTTTTATCAAAGTAACATATATACATAGTTTAGGAAATCAAATAATGTTCAAAGACTTATAATAAAAACCAGAAATTCTTTTCCCCTCCTGAGCCCACCCTCTCCCCAAAGGCAGCTACTTTCAACATTTGGAGATGTTTCTCTGATGTTTACCTCCATGTTTCTAAATAATATTCATATACTGCTATAACTTTTTTGATCAGTTTTGTACATTATCTATTCCTTCTTATTATGGATGTTGAGAATGTTAGCTCTTTCACCTTCCTTCCTCCCTCTACCATCTCAGTACAGTTATATCATGATTTTAGTCTGAATCCATGTTACAGTATTTTCAGTATTAATACTACACAAATATGGTTCACTGTGGAACCAAGGATAACATTTTCTTCTTGAGCAGTTTTGTTTTTCCTGGGTTATGAAATGCCTCATTGTAAAGTTTGCTTATTTTCCTTCAAAACTATGGCTGTCATTCCATAAGCCTTAATGCTTTGTAAAATGCCTCTCAATACAGTTTTCCACATCAGTTACATTTCCCCCCCCAACCCTGGAAATCCTAGAGCTCTCCATCGAGCTAATCTGGACCTAGGATGCTCTCAAGTCTTACCACCTACTTGTTATCCTGGAAGTTCCTGTTACTTCCCTTTTGTGTTTGATCCCATGTCATCGTCTTTCTTGATTGTATTCCTTATTTTGACGGAGCACGTCCTCTGGTAGCTTCCTAAGAAAGAATGCATAGGAGGTAAGTTTTTTGAGACTTAATGTTCCTAAAAGCATCTTTATTCCATTCTCATACATTACTCTTTGTTTGACATAATTCTAGGTTAAAAATTATTTTCCCTCAGAATTTTGAAGGCATCCATCTTGAACTTCCAGTATTACTATTAAATAATATGGTACTATTCTTATTCCTAATTCTTTATATATACCTTTTTTCTCTCCAGAAGCTTTTAGAATCTTCTTTTTTTTTTTTGCGGTACGCGGGCCTCTCACTGTTGTGGCCTCTCCCATTGCAGAGCACAGGCTCCGGACGCGCAGGCTCAGCGGCCATGGCTCACGGGCCCAGCCGCTCCGTGGCATGTGGGATCTTACCAGACCGGGGCACAAACTCATGTCCCCTGCATCGGCAGGCAGACTCTCAACCACTGCGCCACCAGGGAAGCCCAGAATCTTCTTTTTATCACCACTGTTCTTGGGTCTTTTTTTCATATTCTGTTGGTACCTAGTGAGCCCTGGAGATATTTTTTGATTCAGGGAAATGCTTTTGTAGTATTTATTGAAAATTTTCTCACCACCACTTCCTCTGTTCTCTCCTTCTACAACTCCTTTTAGTCAAAAATTAGATTGCCTGTATTGTTACTCTTCTTAACTTTTCTGTTTCCTATTTGTTTATCCACTTTTAGGAGATTTCTTCAACATTACCTTTCAATCCTTTCACAAAAAATTTTTTGGCTATCATAGTTTTAATTTCCAATAGGTCTTTATTTCCCCCAGTTGTTCCCTTCTTTTTTTTGTAATTGAGGTTTTTTTTTTTTGGCTGCATTAGGTCTTCATTGCTGCACGCAGGCTTTCTCTAGTTGCAGCAAGCAGGGGCTACTCTTCGTTGCGGTGCGCGGGCTCCTCATTGCGGTGGCTTCTCTTGTTGCAGAACACGGGCTGTAGGCGCACGGGTTTCAGTAGTTGCAGCATGCAGGCTCAATAGTTGTGGCACACGGGCTTAGTTGCTCCGCGGCATGTGGGATCTTCCCAGACCAGGGATCAAACCCGTGTCCCCTGCATTGACAGGTGGATTCTTAACCACTGTGCCACAAGGGAAGCTGAGATTTTTTTTTTTTTTTTTTTAGTTTAGTTTTTGGCAGCACCGCTTGGCATGTGGGATCTTAGTTCCCTGACCAGGGATTGAACCCAAGCCCCCTGCATTGGAAGCACAGAGTCTTAACCACTGGACCACCAGGGAAGTCCCTGTACCCCTCTTTTTTATAGCATACTGTTTTTGTTTTATAGATGCAGTATGTTCTCTTATCTCTTCCTTAATAGTTAGGCACCAAAAAACTGATGGAAGCTTGTATATATGGAGAGCTTAACTATAGAGCATTAAGATGACCCGCCAGCCTTTATGGGAAAACCCAAAAGTCAGTGTCCATAAGTTTTTTCCTTGCACTGTTCTAGCAAAGAATCCACCAATTTCCTGGAGGGTGTATAACCTGGTCGCCAACATTCTGGAGCTAGTAGGAGGTGGCGGAGTTTCATCATTCAGGCTGCAGCCTTTTACCTAAGCCCCTTGTTTTCAGTCCTGCACCTGATCCTCACCTACTCTATGTGTCCTAAGCCTAGATTCTCTGCTTTAGTTTCTCTAGTGATTTTAATTTCTCTTTCCTGTGGGTTTTGGGGAAGGTAGTCACCTGGCTGGGCAGGATAGGGATGGATATCTGGGAATCTAACTGCTCTTTATATAAACTTCATATAATAGTTTCTGTGTTTGCAACTTCCTTCCTCACCCCCATCTTCCATAGTACCTGGTGCTTCTAACTCCTATGCTTTTCTGAGGTTTGACAGATGATTTGGCTCATTCCTGTTGTTAACCCCAGCAGGCATTTGTTTCACCTTCTTCTGTCTGTTAGGTTGTTTAATCCTACATCCACTTTCCATCTTTATATATTATAATCTAAGATTAGAGATAGATATTCCTAATCAATGGAGTTTGCATTTCTGTTTCTTATTCTCCTTATTTTTGAGGATTTTAAGGAGAAGTATAGAGTGCAGAGTGCCTGTCTCCAGTATTTAAAGAAATCTCTTGGCATGATTAATTAGTAATGAGGAACAGGGAGCCATCTTCAATGTCATAAGGTTCTAATTTCCTCATAGAAATCCTGTCCAGCTTATAGCCAGAAACAGCATGTTTCCCCCAAATACGTTTTCAGTTGTCCCCACTTATTGGTACACATCCATTTATAAATGGGCTTCTGAAAACGGTCTGAGATTTCCCTTATATTCATTGCTAAGTCAGTGCAACTTTAAAAGACATCTTTGGAGGACTTCCCTGGTGGCCCAGTGGTTAAGAATCCGCCTGCCACTGCAGGGGATACAGGTTCGATCCCTGGTCCAGGAAGATCCCACATGCCGCAGAGCATCTAAGCCCGTGTGCCACAACTACTGAGCCTCTGCTCTAGAGCCCGCGAGCCACAACTACTGAGCCTGCACACCACAACTACTGAAGCCCACATGCCTTAGAGCCAGTGCACCACAAGTACTGAGCCCATGCACTGTAACTACTGAAACCTGCACGCTCTAGGGCCTGCGTGCTGCAACTACTGAAGCCCACACACCTAGAGCCCATGCTCTGCAACAAGAGAAGCCACCACAATGAGAAGCCCGCACACCGCAACGAAGAGTAGCCCCCACTCGCTGCAGCTAAAGAAAGCCCGTGCATAGCAACGAAGACCCAGTGGAGCCAAAAAAAAAAAAGAAAAAAAAGACATCTTTGTTTTACTTTTCTAAATATTCCATTTAAGCTGACTCCTGCCTGTTCTTTAGAACAATCAGAATAACTGTCATCTTAGAAATACACAAATGCTAAAAAAAAAAAAAAAGAAAGAAATACACAAATGCTGAAGAGCTTTCATCATCACAGTCATTTATTTATTCATTTAGAATATATGCTTGGAATGCCTATAACACAAGATTGAAGTTAAAGCAGTGAACAAGACAGGCACAATCCCTGCTGTTATGTAGCCCACATTTTTGTGGTGGGAAAAGGCCAATTAACAAACAAATATGTAATATGTCAGATGGTGATGAGTGCTAAAAAGAAAGTCTCCCCATGCTGTCACTTCTTAGCCTCTCTCTCATCAAGAGAAAAAGTCCCAAGATGTTTATGTTCAGTATTTGGAAAATGTTATTTATTTTTAGTAGGTAATTAGTGACTGTACTTACTTGAAAAGTGATCACATTTTAAATTCCATGGTTATACCTTCCTTAAGCAAAATATAAATAAATGTCTTTTGTACCTAGAAATGGGATATTTTTAAATTTATATTAAACATTATATAAGAAATGGCCCTTTAGATTAAAATTGATGTTTAGTTCAATATTTGGAAAATGTTAAATATTATAAGTGAGAAATTAGTGATTATTTACACTTACTCAAGGAACATATTTAAAATTTCACACTGATTTCTTCCTTAAACAAAATATAAATACATGTGTTCACACCTAGAGATGGGATATTGTGAAGTTTACACTAAAAAAAAAAATCTAAAACAAATGGCCCCTTAGATTAAAATTGAATATTATCCCAGTAATTGTGCCACAGGTTGCAGTTCAGGTGTAAGTTTGTGCTGTAGGAGCATAGAGCAGAAGCCAACAACCTTGCTTCTCATCTGTAACAAACTGGTAAGCAGAAATTATCTTTTCAAACCAGTTAGTATTTTGATAAAGTAAAGCTAATATATGAGAACGAAAAGTGTCCTTGGAAAACTCCTTGATTTGCTACCAGAGTTCTCAGTGTTGGTGCTTGTATATCATCAATTATCATTGGTATTTCGTAGTATGCCTGCCGCTTCTTATGCTTCTTCATAATTGAGAACATTGAAGAGTTCTTGTCACAACTTTCAAGCAAT